CAGCAAAGTGAAAGCATTATAGAATCACGTAATAGCAATAATGACGCGTCTACTCGGCCCCAAAACCTTTCCCCAACCGACTCCACCACACCGATCCCACCGGACGAGACCCGCAGTATACTAAAGCAGCAGCCAGCTGCGGCTAAGGTTAAACACCTGACATCCATCAAACAAGATGATTCGTCTGCAAAGGGGACGACGACGATACTGGGTAAGAGGCGGGCATCAGAAGACGCGGACGATCCAGGGCACTCGGTGCCAGCGTCCAAACGCGTCAAGCCTTCTTTGAACGATGGTGACCACAAGGCAAAAGAGGGTCTGACAGGAGCTGAACGAGGAGGCGTGGTGAACCCGGCTACGACCACTGCTCGACCGACGAATGGAAGGAGACCGGTTACCGAGGGTGCAGTGAGGACTGTGTCAGGAGCGTCGATTGCTGGGCCCGCTGCGCCTAACAAACCTGACTCGGTAGCGGTTCGTGCAATCGGCCATCCCAGTGGTGTCCGGCCTCAATGGGGGGTTGAGGTGCGGGGATCCGCGACACGGAAATTGTTTGAGCTATTCTTGGAGAAGGAGATTAGACCAGGATCCAAGCCAAATGGAGCGAGAAGAACGCTGTCCGAGAGCAGAAAAGAGTGCTGAATGTCCGTTGCCAACATATGTGTATTCTCTTATTTGTAGCATAGATTTCTTGACTACTTTGATCACAGAGTGTGGTGAGAGTCAATTTGTTGCGGCATTCGGTCGGAGTGACTGGCCGTGGGAAATGCCACGTAGTCCACGTATGCCGCAGTCAGCAGCCGCCGTATTTGAACACGTAGCTCTTGGCCTCTGCCAACACCTCCATCCCCCCCAGCTCACCACAATCCATCCGTATGTACACTGCTGGACACAACGTATAAACACGTATTTACCATTACTTAGAACATTAATTCGTAGTATGGACCAGGCCTGTTACTCTCCGCATCCTTCCATGGACTCCGCTTCAGACTACACCCCCGAGCGGGTCGTCCACACCACCACCACAAAGCGAAGACCGAGAGGTTCCATGACCGCTGAAGAGCGTCGTGAAGCGCGAGCTCACCGAAACCGTCTCGCAGCGCAGTCCTCCCGCGACAGGAAAAAGGCCCAATTTGAGCAACTTGCAACTCGTCTCGCAGAGTTGGAAGAGGAAAACCGCTCTTTGCGACTTGGACTCGCCCGACCCACATCAGCCTCGTCCTCGTCCTCGTCCCTCGAAGCCGGCTTACTCCAAGAAAACCAAGACTTGCGAGCACGCGTACAGCAGCTCGAATTAGCCTGGCAGAACATGACCAAGATTCTCGCCACCATGGCTATCCCTGTCCCTCTTCCGTCCTCATCATCCGCCGCCCTCCCAGCGATGGCAACGACGACAAGACCAACAACAAACACACCTATTTCCAACGATCCAAAGCTTCCTCTCTCCCCAGCCCCAACCTCCTCCTCTTCGTCTGATTCCCTAGATGCGATCACGTCGGAACCCACTTGCGAACTAGCACGGTTCGCGAACGTCTCTGTCGAGGCGTCCCTGCAGCGGGTGGCTCCTTCGGCGCGCTCTTTGGTGATCAGACTGTTGGCGGAGCAGCAGACCAACTGGGGTCCTCCACGGTGTTTGACAACAACAACAACACCATCACCGTTGGTAACCAATGGGCCGAGTGTGGCATGTTTTTGAACCCAAAGGACACTGCACTCACCGATGGTTATAGTGAGATGGATCAGCTTTTAGCCCTCTTACCTTCCTCCTCTCCCCATCAAGAATCCACCCTTGACATTGGCGTCACTAGCGCTGATGAATGGAACTGGTTGAACGAGGGCGCTTTCTAAATCAACTTTTAACTTATCATCGTTGACCACAGTGTGTTGGTGACGAACCTAATCTTTTGTCTCGTCTTTTTTTTTCTTTCCATTTCCCCTCTTTTTTTTTTTGGATTATCCCCGCTGCCTTGTATCTTCCCCCCACTTGTTTGTAGATGCGCGTCGCGTTGGGATCGTTCACATGCTTGTCTCCCTCTTGCTCGATTATCTCTCCCTCTATGGTTGCAGAGGTACTCTTGTATCTGGTGAGCGCGGTGGATGTGACCTTTTCGATGAACAGATATAATGATTGGAATAGATTCCTTGCAGCCCATCCAACATCTCGGTGTGAACTAAGATTTACCATTCGATGAAAGTAAGAAAGTGAGATTCAGGGATCTACTATTCACAAATGGTTTCAAACAAAGGGTAGACATGAATGTGCCCACAAAAGAGACACTTGCGGAAAATCTCCAACCAATCTCTCCACGACAACCGCATTCAGATTTACGATGGTCGGTAAAGGGCAGTAGTTCGAGAACTCTTGCTGCGAGGTGTCTGTCATTCGGGTGGACTTACTTGAACCACTGTGCTTGGGGATTGTTGTACCCTGGTTTCTGATACACGACTCGAGTCGTAGCTTTGGTCCGTAATTGGCGGTTTGTTTGGATATAGATTGAGACTAGCAAGCCTTTGTTAGCTTCCGAAGCGGACTCGGATTCCTTGAGAGCGCATGGAAGACTCGAATTCTAACAGCAATGAGCTACGCCCGATTAAGAGATTTATGGATGCTCACCTCTCATTTCCGCCAGCTCTTCTCTGTGTTCATAGTCCAACACGAGTCGCTTGAGTTGTTCCTGCTCCTGCTTGCTCTCCATCTGGGCAGACAAGGTATGCGCAGCGATGGCGGACGAAGTGGGTATCTCTAACTCTCGAGTCTACGACAATTAGTCAAGAGATGAATGATCAGTCAACTCGACGAACCGGGTTCTTGTTGGCTTTCTTGGAGAGCACCGTAAACCGCATCATGTCGGATGGGGCCTGAGGCTCGTCTTGTCTCTCCTTCTTGCGTCTTGCTAGTCCTCCACTCATAGCAACGCCAGTTTCCCATGCTGAAAGGACGGCCCTCTTGTCAACTTTTTTGGAATCCGCCGCTGCATCCGAGAGCATCTTGGAAAACTCCTTGTCAAAGTCTGCCGCTTCTTCTTCGGTCGGTCCCTGAGAAGGTCTGCTAGCATCAAGATGATCCGGAGAGTTGGGGCGGTCGGATACCTTTCATAGACTCAGTATACTCGAATATTGGAATAACAAAGTCATTTACCTCATCGTCGACGTTGTTTTCTTCATTTTCTTCCACTTCTGGACGTTCGTCATCATCTCCGCTTTCATCTCCACTGTCATCCGCATCAACCTTGATACTCTCAAACATTTCGTCGACAACAGCGGCAGCTTCCTCAAAGGTTTTGAAGAGGGACATCTTGGGGCGAAGTTGCTGTGAAAGATTGAATACAGGAGGTTCAAAGGAGCAAGATTCTGACCTCCATAGTATCAGTCAGCATGAAATCCACATCCATGGGTAAATCATTCTTAGTCAGAATATAAAGCTGCAAAGCGTTAGACCGAGTATGAACAGGGCTCGTATTCGTACCTGGAAGAATGTGAGGAAACGGTCCAATTTACGTTTGTAGGATCCACGATCAAAGCACATTCCACACGCGTCGAGCAATGTGCACACGAGGCGAATGCGGAAGAAGTCGTCTGGTGCATCTATCGGCGAAATTTGGCCAGGTAGGGGTCTTCCTTCGTCTGCCAAACCAATGAATGAGCGACAACAGAGAAGGAAGAGAGCTTACGATGTCCAAATGTCACTAGACTCCATAGAGTATCAAAGATGACCCTTGAATTCACGAGACGGTAGATGTACAACTCCCCAAGGTACTTGACTGTAGCGATTCTCTTTTGATTTTGTTTGTACAGATTCTGTTCCATACCGACTCGGATATTTTCGAGCACTTGATCAACAACGTCGACGCAAAACTTTGAATGATACCGTTGGAGATCATAAGCAAGGATCGCCATCAAGGTGATACTACTATATGATACTTTCCACGGCTTGGAAAACATTTTGAAGAGTATACGAAGAACCTGCAAAATATAAGTAACAATCTAGAAGAGCAAGAGTCAACAAACCTCCTCATCTTCCCAATGAAGTTTTCGAAGCATCTTAAGAACATTATCCAAGGATTTGCGAGTCAATACATCACAGAGCAAATGCCGGATGAATTGCTCCATGACGGAGCGTTGCTTATATTCGATCGGGCCACGCTCAGGTGGATTGCACTAAAACCGTGGTGAATTATCTCTGGTGCAATATCATTCGAGAACCTACCTGATAATACGCATTTTCCAATAAAAGAGACTGTCGTTGATCAAAGTTCTGTACACTCTGCTTTCTTTTCATGAGTTCGAGCTATGGCGTCGTCAGTTCCACCGGTTACAAGATATCCAACACAAACTTGCCATTGATGCCGTCTTTTCTCCTGTATCTGCTCCGCGCAAAAGGAATCTACCACAGCCTTCCAACAGAGCGGCCAGTCCATCAACATTGGTTCCGGTCAGATCATCCAAAAACACTCGCAGTATGTGGAGAATCACATGGGGAGGTACGAGGCGAAATTTCGTCAGAACAGAAAACCACAAGATATTCTAGCACGATATAAGCGAGCGTTAGATCTCATTAAAGACACATACCCTCGCTCTTGAATTTGCAAGCTCCTTTACGACCTTCCTTTTGCGTTGTAAATAGCGGAATTCGTCTTCAATCTGATATTGGATTAGTATGTTGTTTGGTTTGATGTACAAGGATGTATTACCGCCACCAAGGTTTCCTTCGCCAGATCTGGAGCGTATTTACTGATGGTGGCAACGAGACGGCCATAATACGGAATCAAATCAGTCCTTTGTTTCGGAGAAGTGACGAGGAACTATCAATGAACCGTCAGACAGTGAATAGGTCAATCCATTTCGGATTACCTTGACAAGTCGTTTCCTAGCTGCCTTGGAATTCACGTAGATAAAATCGACAGCAACCTGATCTATAGCATCTCGACTGGTTGCCTCTGGTAGCTTGCCCATAATACCTGTAAGCACTTGAGAGGGTCCTGGGGCAACAACGGGGTCACCATTTGTGGAGGGTGACACTGGTCGACTTTCCGGCTCGCTAAAGCTCATTAGATTACTTTCAGAGACCCACTATTATCTCACCCGTATTCCGTTCCCTCTTCTGGTTCGTCAGTGCCCTCCATCAACCTATCAATATCAGAGGTTTCGGTGTCGACTTGTTCTTGTGGGACGCTTTCCGTCTCTCCATCTTGGATATTTAAGAAAGAACGTGGGACCCAGTCCTTGAGGTCGATGATGTCTTCATAGAATTTCCTCTCCTCTTCGTCCTCCCACTGGCTACCGCTACCGACACCCATGTTATCGAGATCATCGCCACGTTGTCGCTCTCCTGTAGAGAGCCCGATTGAGTCTGACTTGTACGCGGCCGTCGGTAATGTAGGCATGTCGGTGTTCAAGAGTTCTGACAGCCTGCTCAAGTTGCAGTATGTGTATGAAAACGGTAAAAGTAGCCTACGTTTGACAGTTACTGAGGAGTTTCTCGTAGTTCCTGGTCATCTTCTCATATGCTTGTTGCCTATCTTCAAAAATTTCTCCAGACCTGATATAGGCTTCATGGTTGCGTTTATCTTGTTCTTGTAGACGCTAATAATGAGGTTACGATCTGTACGAACTATACTTGAGGCTCGACTTGCCTTATGTTCTTTTACCAGAATTTTCGCCACGTTCTCGTAATAACCTTCGCACATTCTTTTGAACCGGTCCCGAATCTCCTTGTCGATTAGTTCTTCGGATTCATCCTCTGGGCCTGTATCTTGTCCTGTATTGGTATGAAGGCCCAGGAAGGGTCTTCCGTAGGCTTTCAAGAACGTGATGAGTAGGGGAACAGAAGACAGTGATGCGTCATGGGAAAGCTACAAGATAGTTAGGAAATACAAGCAAAACCTCGATTCTCACTCACCAGATCCTTTGTAACCTTCATAATCCACTCTCCCGCACTCTTCTTGTCACTTCCAATGATGCCCACCAGTGCTAGTTC